ATCTATCTATCTATCTATCTATCTATCTATCTATCTATCTATCTATCCCTCCCTCTCTCTCTCCTCCGTATTTCTGCAAATGCTACCCTCCACCTGATTAGACAAAGAGCAAGAACATCAGGGGTGTCAAACTCGATTTCATTGAGGGCTGCATCAGGATTGTGTTTGATCTTGGGGGGAGCTGAAGGGCATGGCCAGGGTGGGCGTGGCCACCTCGACGTCACTCGTGTGATCAAATGCCACTTCCGCTAGTAGTTTGCTTTGCTAGCCCTCTGCCGGCAAAAAGGAGCTTCGGGAGGTCCGCGCTCCGTTTTTGCTGGCAGAAGGCTGCAGGAGGCTGTCACAGGCAAAAACGGAGCCTGGGAGGGCTGCTCGCGGCCCTCACAAGTTCCCTTTTTACTGGCAGAGGCACCGCTGGCCGGTCCTTCACTGTTTCCAGGGCAGCCCTGCCGGCCAGATCTAAACACCCCGCAGGATGGATCTGGCCCGTGGCCCTCGAATTTTGACACTCCTGAGCAAGATCAAGCAAGACATCCCATAACCTCATAATCTGTCAGGAGAAAATGAACTCTGTCCATAGATTTAATCTATGGACTCTGCCTTTAGACTTAGCGTTGGACTCACAGGCAACCCTCAGAGAATCAAGGGGAGAGCACCTTGCTTTCACCTGAGAAAATAAAGGAGCCACAATCTGCCATAGGGAGGAAAGAGAAGCTCCACCCCCATCTTCCAGGAAACGCCACTGCAGTACAGAACAACATGCCACCATGGAGTCCTTTCCAGTAAAGGAGAAATTCAAAACATAAACTTACTGTAACATAACAACAGAAAATATTACAGTGTACAAAGATCAGAGCAAAGACACTGTCTTACTTTGAAAGTCCCATATCTGCAAGGCTACAAAACTGAACTTTGCCATGTGTGGTACGATTTTAGTGTCTACACCTGCATGCCGACAGAAGACTCTGCCACTTCCTGATTCTATCATTTCAAGAGATGCAAAGCTAATTGCGTTTGTGTCCAGATATATTACATTTTGGGGATCAGGTAGAAAGAATATCAACACACACACACACAAAATAGAATTTGCACAAACTGCTGCGTTTGGAGAACTTCTATGAATTGCTATATTCAATATGGGAGACGGACAAAAGGAGACTGTAATGAATCTGTAGGTAGGTTGAATTAGATGGATATGTGTTTTGATAAAGCTGATTTTCTATGTACTCAAATTCAATTATCAGGAGTCTACAAATACAGCCAACAGGGACATCCATACGTTTAAGTTGGATATATTGAGAAATTCTCCAATATCACTAAAACTTTCTTTTTAAAAAAATTGCCAAGACAAAGGGCAACATTTGACCATCTGAAATGACATCACGCACTGGAAGACAGATTGCTAAAAATACCGAAGATTGCCCTTTGCTTTTTCTCTTCAAAACCTTTCTGTTACGAAACAGGTACATAATTGCATTTCCTTTTTCCTCTTTGAAGTAAAATAAATCAAAAGGCTGAACTTTGCTCGCTACAAATTGGTTTAAAATCAGTGTATGTTTCAAGATGTGGAGATGCAACCTACTGAAGAACTGCTGAGGGCCTTCAAATTAGTACATGGCTACAAACGGATCCATCTTGACTCAAATCAACCATGGCTTGTTCTGACCTAGGCTTCACAAAATCACGAAGCAGACTCCTTATCCCAACAAAACCCCTTTTTATTTGGCTAACGTGAATTCCTATATTTCACATCCAGCAAAGTCCTGGCAAACAGTCTTTTCCAGGGTGAATTGCAAGCACAAACCTTATCAGGCTTGGAGAGCTGCCAGGCCAATAGGTTCCAAGCGCAACGCTGTACAAGAAAATATTTGGCAAGAAGGGAGTCACAAACAAATCTTCACACTAATTAAATGAACTAATTATCTCCTGCAAACACCACTCCCCTTTCACTCCTCTTTATTCCCTATGGGAGGGCCCATTCACCATCCATCTGTGCCTTTACTCCCGAGTCGGCTCTGGTTCCTTAACTGTTTGCTTCTTCTGGCAGCTCTGTGCATGTGCACAGAGCGGAACAGGCTCCAGCTGTTCTTCTGCCCCACTGATCTCCAACTCTGAAGGCAGCTGATAACTGTTGGATGGCCTTGGCCCTATCTTGGCCTCCCGATGCAGAGCACTCATGAGCCTTCCCCAGACTCCAGGACTGGCCCATGTTCCTCCCCAACCTTCTCACTGTCAGAGTCTGCTGCCAGCTCGGCTGGCCAGTGGCAGGCCGCAACATGACTGTTCTTTGGAAGGCCAGGTACCGATGCTGAAGTTCAAATACATTGACCACCCAATGAGAAGGGAGGACTCACTGGAGAAGACTCACCTGAAGTTGAGAAAGATGGAAGGCAAAAGAGAGAGAAGGGGACAGCAAAGGAGGAGATGGCTAGGTAGTGTCACTGATGCAATGGTCATGAATTTAGGCAAACTCTGAGAGACAATGGAATACACAGGGGCCTGGCATGCTATGGTCCATGGGATCACAGAGTCAGACACAACTTAGTGACTGAATAACAACGATCACATCATGAGAAGAAAACTATTTTTTGTCTGACTTTCTGAGCACAGGTAAGATGTTGCTTCTGTTAACATAATAACTTGCTGCTTTCTAACCAACCAGGATCCTATGCTGGCATTTTAAGCACCACTGGAGCACTTGATCAAAGAGAATGAAGGATGTGCTTCTGAAAGACATGAGCCCAGAGTGCCTGAACCAGAAAAGCACCTTCGTCTTTTTTAGCATCTTCTAACAAACAGGCAAGATAAATGGATGTGTGCTCTATGGGTGATAATTAAGATAGCTGCATATGTTACCTGCAATGATCATCTTTTCTCACGTTCTCTTATGAATTTGCTGCAAATCAATACTATGGACCTTGATTCCAAGCAACTAGTGAGCCTGAGTGACATCGAGCACGGAGTTTGCAAGATGCTTTCACACTTTTTCAGCCAACTATTGTGATACTTGTGCCAAGGGGGCAAATTCTTTGGTTTGGTTGCAAACCCGGTGGAAGGTCTGTATAAAACACTCTGCAAGAAGGCTGCTCAAGAGATTCGGTACAATTATTTGTCCTGGAAATGCTTCACTATTCCAGGGCCAAAGGAACTTATCATCACAATTCCTCTTGTTGAATCTTTTCATAAACTGAGCATCTTAACAGGAGCCTCTTAAATTTTAAAGTTTGCAGTAAGCTGTACAACTCTCACCACCGATTTTGGTGTTGATGTCCCTCAGGTCTTTATTTCTTCCCATCCCATTGCTATGCCTCAGGCAAAAAAACCAAAATAATTTCTTATTGAATTGGCAGAGCTCAGCTATGAATAGATTGAGAATAGACGCTAGTTTGAGGCTGCAGTTCTTCTTCTAACTACTAGATCAGGCAAAGATTGAAAGTGTAAAGAGAAGGAAGGCAACCATGGGGTGGGCATCAAAAAAAAGTCAATATGGCAGCCACAATTGTGCCATTAAATCTCCCCCCATTTTCACACACATTGGAACCAACATCCTGACTTTTTGCATGGCCCTTGAAGATGTCCTTGCTTAAATGCACACTGCATTGTGTCGTTCCCATTTCATTTTATTTCAAGCAGGACCAAAACTGCAGCTCATGAACCACAATGAACGGTTGGGTTGCAACGTTATGTTCAGAGTATTGCAGCGTAAATTCAGCGCCAGAAAAGTAAACACAGAGGGTTGAGGCTTCATTAACTTCTTTATAAACACATAAAGTAAATTTTACAATTCCAGTTGTAGATTTCTCCAACATGGAGCAAGTAGGTTCAGAGCAGAACTCTAGTTTGCAACAAGTAAGCTAGTTTCTCTTTTACTTTAGAGCTGAGCACAGAAGAGAGATAAACTATGCCCAGATTCTCTGTTTAAGTTTCAGCCCTTAATTCAGATCTCATTGGCTGAACTTGTTACTAAGCTCTATTCCAGTTCATGAATATACTCTGACACAGTATTTGTTCACCCCCAATTTCTCTTCCTTCCTTGGGACATATCATAAAACAAGTGTGGAAGGGGGAGAGAGAAAGGATAAAGGAAGGAAGGAAGGAAGGAAGGAAGGGAGGGAGGGAGGGAGGGAGGAAGGAAGGAAGGAAGGAAGGAAGGAAGGAAGGTTTGAAGTGGATGGC